CTGCTGCGCTGCAGCTGCTGCGGGCGCTGCAGCTGCTGCCGCTACACCCGCCTCAGCAGCTTCCTTCTGCGCCCTACATGCTTTGCTGCTGAACATCACCAGTGCTTTTGTGCTGCAGCGGAGCAGCAGCAGCAGCGACAATATCAGCAGCAGCAGCAGCAGTGCTGCGCGTTGCCTGGCTGCTTGCTGCTACGTATTTGCTGCTGTAGATGAAGCAAGCAGCGCCTGGGAGACCCTATGGCTCAGTAGATGCTTTTGTTTTGCTGCTGCTGCTGCCGACACCCTTGCTGCTGCTGCTGCTATCAATACTGCTGCTGCTGCTGCTGCTGCTGCCAGCGCTTCTGTCTAGAAGGCCTGCTAAGCCACTACAACTGACAACGGAGAAGGACAAAAAGAGAATCAACTGTGCCTAGTCTGCTGCAGCAGCAGCACACGCATTGTGCTGCAGCAGCAAGGGGTTCCGCAGCAGCTAACTGGCAGCGCTTGCTGCAGCTGCTGCAGCAGCAGCAAACTAAGCAGGAGCATCTCCGCCCACGACTGCCTCGAGGCGGGCCGCAAAGAAGGCAATGCTGCTGAGCTCGTGCTGCTGTATGTACACCCCGGTGCTGCTGCTGCTGCTGCTGCTGCTGTTCACACCGTTTTGCTGCTGCGGCGCTTCCGCCACTCTGCTGCGGCTAGCTAGGAGACACAGCAGCCGCAAGGACGGCAGCTGCTGCAGCAGCTGCGGCAGCAAAGGAGACAGAGAGATGAGCTTGCTGCTGGTTGCTGCTGCTCGAACACCTGAAGCAGCCCAGCTGCCCGAGACGCCGCAGCCAGCAGCAGCAGCAGCATAGCCCTCTGCTGCACCTGCATGCAGCGGACGTGGCCCGCCTTCGAGGCGCTGGGTGCGCTGCAGCAGCAGCTGCAGCAGCAGCGCATTGCTATCCCTTCCAGCTGCACCAGCAGCGCCTCCAATTTGCTGCTGCTGCTGCTGCTGCTGGGATGCGCGGGCGCGCAGCAAAAGGCCAGCTTGGGCAGCGGCTTGCTGCTGCTGCCACTGCTGCTGCTGCTGCTGGTCTTGCTGCTGCACCCGCTGCAGCAGCACGGCGTCAGGCCCCACGCTGCAGTCCGGGGTAACTGCAGTGAGCAGCAGCAGCGCCTTCAGCAGCATTTGCCGCGCCGTGTGGAAGCAAAGCAGCGGCTGCTGCTGCTGCTGCTGCAGCAGCGGGTGGGCCTGGGCCCTGGCCCGGGCCTCTTCTATCACTGCATGCAGCAGGTGTCTGTACACCCGAAGCAGCTTCAGCAGCGCAACAAACAGCAAATCTTCCGTGGGGTTTTCTGCTGCTGCGCCTTTAAAGCCCACAGGGGCGACAGCAGCAGCAGCAGCTTGGTCATCTGCTGCTGCTGCTGCTGCTGCTGCAGGGGTTGCTGCGGTGCCGGCAGCAGTCGCTGGCGCTGCGTCTCCCCCAGAGGACTGCTTCTGCTGCAGTCCATCTCCTGCTGCTGCTGCTTCAGAGTCGAGGGCCGAGGAAGTCCGCTGCAGCAGCTGCTGCTGCTGCCACAGTGCAGCCAAATGAACGCACACCTGCAGCGGGGCATCCAGCAGGTCCCCCTGCTGCTCCATCCACAGCAGCAGCTGCTGCAGCAGCTGCGCCGATGGCCCCTCAGCAAAGCAAGTTAGCAGGCTCTGCAGCAGCAGCAGCAGCAGCAGCAGCACATGCGTACCCGTATCCTATGCTGCTCTTCTGCTGCTGTCGGCGCGAAGTAAACAGCAACTGCTGCAGCAGCGACATCAGCAGCAGCAACTGCAGCAGCAGCGGCAACTGCAGCAGCAGCAGCACATCTGCGCACCTCTATGACTTTCAAAATGTCCGACAAGAGTCCCAAAGGAGGCAGCAGCACAGCAACTCTCCCGAAGCTCACAGCAGCAGCAGCTGACCAGCATCGCTGCTGCAGCAGTGGCAGCACCGGCTGCATGCGCGCCTGCTGCTGCAGCAACGGGGAGCTCAGCAGCAGCTCCAGCGCTGTCTGCTGCTGCCAGAGCCGCTGAGACTGAAGGCCCCAAGCGAAGTGGGGATCCTGTAGCAGCAACAGCAACAGCAGCAGCAGCAAAGGGGCCACACACGGGCCTTCAAGAAGGCTCTGGACTTTGGTTCCTTCAGCAGCAGCAGCAGCAGCACAGAGAGCAGCAGTGTCAAGTGCAGCAGCAGCAGCAGCAGCGGGAAAAGCTGCAGCAGCGGCACAAAAGTAGCAGCAGCAGCAGCACCAACTGCAGCAGCAGCATGGGAAGCGGGAGCTGACTCCACACTTACTAGACAGAGCAGGGAAGCCAACTGACACGAGGCTCGGGCGAGGCTGTTTTGCTGCTGCCACGATTGCTGCTGCTGCTGCTGCTGCTGCCGCTGCAGCGCCTGCACACCTGAGAGGTGAACCAAAAACAGCTGACCCACTGCAGCAACAGCAGGAGCTGCTGCGCGCTCGCTGCTGTTGCTTCTCTTCGACTGCAGCAGCAGCTCCCGCGGAAGTAAAGGGCCCGACTGCCACGGGCCGCCGCCATTCTGCTGCTGCTGCTGCAGCACCCCCTGCAGCAGCAGCAGCAGCAGACGTAGAGCAGCAAGAGGAAGGCAGCACCGAATCCCGAAGAGTTCAACACATGTGGGGTCGTCAGCTGTCTGTACACCCCGCAGGAACGGCCGCTGCTGCTGCTGCTCAGCCCACCAGCTGGGGACACTGCTGCTGCTGCTGCTGCTTTGCTGCTGACTGGCGTCAAAGAACAGCAGCAACAGCAAGGTGAGATAACGGTCTGAATCCGCCTGCAGCTCTTGAATGAGTGCCGTGCAGATTGGGCTTGCTGCAGCGCTGGCGGCAGCAGCTGCTGCTGCTGCGCCTTCCTCGCGCTGCTGCTGCTGCTGCTGCTGCTGCGGGTCTGCAGCAGGCAGCGTCAGCAGCAGCTGCAAGCTGCCGTACAGCAGCGCCCGTGCTGCTGGCGGCAGCAAATGAGGCACATCTGTAAGCAGCAGCACGAGCAGCTGCGTCTGCTGCAGCGGGAAGGCCCGGGACTGCACGTTGCTGCTCTCAGCTGCCTGTACACCCCACGCCAGCAGCAGCAAGTGCTGCAGCACAACCAAGCCGTAGATCTGCCGCAGCTTGTAGCAGCAAAAGCGCTCACTAGTTAAGTAGCAGTCTAAGACCTCTGCGGCGCGCTGCGCCAAAAGGCCGCAGTTGCTGCTGCTGAGGGCTCCCGCTGCTGCTGCTGCTGCTCTCGGCAGCACTTGCTGCTGCAGCGGGGAAAGCGCCTGCTGCTGCTGCTGTTGCTGCAGCTCGAAGCAAGCAGCAGCTAACTCCGGAAGAGCCCCCAAGGCGCAGTACAGCGCAGCGCGCAGCGATGACTGGTAAGTTGTCCTGAAGAGCTCAATCCACAGCAGGCTTGCTGCTGCTGCATACAGCTGCTGCTGCTGCTGCTGCTGCGGCAGCGGCGCAGCAATGCCCGCCGCGCGCAAAATGCGCTGCACATGCGTCAAGAACAGCTCGGGGCTCAGCAGCAGCCACACATTGTTGCTGCCTCTCCCGTTCGGCGCTCGCTGGAGCACCCCACACAGCCTGTCAGCAGCAGCAGCAGCAGCAGCAGCAGCAGCAGCAAGACGCACAATTCGTCGCAAACGCTCAGCTGCTGCCCCGTCGAAGCAGGCGCGCCGCCTCAGTCCCTACAGAGGCAGCAGCCATCACCCCTGTCTTAACTGAAAGCAACAGCAGCAGAGCAGCAGCAACAGCAGCGCAGCAGCAGCAGCAGCAGCGCAGCAGCAGCAGCAGCGCAGCAGCAGTAGCAGCCCGTGTCTCACCTTCGCATCTCCATCCTTGCAAGTTTTACCGACGGTCTCCCGGCCAGTCCGTCGACGGCCTCCCAGCAGTGCGCAGCATGGGCGCGCTGCTGCTGCTGCTGCTGCTGCTGCTGCTGTTGCAGCAAGAAGCTCAGCTGCGGGTCCTCGGTGACTGCGTCTATGGCTTCCACGAAGAAAAACAGCAGCCGCTGCAGCCCCGACAAAATGTCCCTCTGGCCTTGTCTTGCTGCACTGATGAGGAGGCAGCAAACTCTAGCTAGCTGCTGCGTGCGCTGCCGTTCATTGAGCTGCTGCTGCTGCTGCCAGACTGCTGCAGCGCCGCCGCCGCCGCTGCTGCTGCTGCTGCTCGCTGCTGCGGCTGCGCGCGCCGCCGCGTGCTGCACGTCCAGGCGGCACAGCTGCGTGCATGCAGCCAGCAGCAGCAGCAGCGGGGGCCGCAGCAGCAGCGGGACCAGGGGGTAGCGCAGCAGCAGCTGCTGCTCGAGAAAGCGGTAACGCTCGGGCCACAAAATGCCCACTGCATGCAGCGCAGCATTTGCTGTTTGGGGATGTGCTGCCAGCAGCTGCAGCAGCTGCAGCGCAGCAACGCCGCAGCAAACCTGCGTGTACACCCCAGCCAGCCCGGGCTGCCGCTCTGCGTCTCCCAAAAAGCTGCCATCTGCTGCTGCTGCATGCGGCGGCAGGTCTCCTGTCTCCTGCTGCAGCAGCGGGACTTGCTGCGGCTGCTGCGCCACGGCCACAACAGCAGCAACAAGGCTGCTGCCTCTTTCCAGGGCCCGCGGCGCCCACTGCAGCGGCTGCAGCGGCTGCAGCGCTGCTGCTGCTGCTTCTGCTGCTGCCGGCAGCAGCAGCGCCTCGCTGCACGACGGCAGCACCCCGAAGGAAGACAAGCCTGCTGCTGCTGCGCCGCCGCTGCTGCTGCTGCTGCTGAAGGCGAGGCCCAGCAGCAGCAGCGGGAACGGCACGGCCGTTAGCGGCGCCCCCTCTCCGCATGTCTGCTGCACCCCCTGCAGCAGCAGCAGCAGCAGCAACTCCCGCAAAGACACACTGTGGTATCTTGAAGCAGCAGCATCAGCAGGCAAATGAAGACAAGACCCCACAAGGATTTCCTCGGGGGGGGCCCAGGGCGGCAGCAGCCAAGCAGCACGGGGCTGCAGCGGCAGCAGCAGCGCGAGTTCTATTGCTGCTGCTGACAGCACCGGCGCTGCTGCTGCTGTTCCTGCTGCTGCTTCGCGCCCATACAGCAGCCGCGCGCCCTCGCCCCGCGGCGCCTCAGCCAGCAGCGGGTCGCTTTGTCGCCGCCGCTGCTGCTGCTGCTGCTGCTGCAGCGCGATGCAGCGAGCTAGTGCTGTCCAAGTTGCTGCGTCTGCTGCTTCAATCATTGTGTCTTCAACTGTCTGCCACCTTTCGTCGAGAGCAGCACAGAGCGGCAGGGCCGTGGCCGAGGAGGTCGCAGGCAGCTGCCGCCTGCTGCTGCTGCTGCTGCTGCTGCT